AGAAAGCATCTGCCCAGCACACAGAACTGATTTCATTTAAGTCACCTAAGGTAACATCTAGGAAGGAATTTGTTTTCCTAAACTTGGAAAAAGATGTTGTCCCTCGTAGAGTATAATCATCAGCAGCAGCAACAACGGTCTGTCATCTTGGAAAAACCCAAAACATTAAGAGGAAACAAAGCACAAGTGCAATACATAGCTAAAATGGAAGGGCCCACATCCAGAGCTAGTTTCTAGGTAGATGCATACTCATAATAAATGTGTTCAGGAACCATTGTTTCAGGCATACAAGCCAGGAACATCCCAAGAAGACATTTTTTATGATGAGGGTGGCAAGACACTGGAACAGGTTGTCCAGAGAGGTTGTGGATGCCCCACCATGGGAGGTGATCAAGGCCAGGTTGGACGGGGCTTTGAGCAACCTGATCTAGTGGAAGGTGTCCCAGCTTGTGGCAGGGGGGTTAGACTAGATGAGCTTTAAAGGTCCCTTCCATCCTAAACCATTCTACGCTCTATGATTCCATTCCAGACTTCATTTCTCTCAAACTTCTATTTTAAATACATGCCTGGAAGAAGGATTGCTGCTTGGAAATCTTTTGGTCACCATCACACAGACCAGTCCTTTTTTGATGTACCCTTTTGTATCTTGAGTTTCCAAAACAAATGACCAACCTGACGTGACATACTGTCAGAAACCACTGATGCAGCCTAGAACCTATTCGTGACACAGTTTCTGCTAAGTACCCAAGAAGAAACAAGCCCCTTCTAATACAAACTTTGGAACCTTTTGCTTTTCATTTAACTCACTGGCAATTAACGTTAAATAATTTTTCCTGCAAGAAAACATAGTCAGAAATGGGTATCAATTACATTGACCTCCTCCAAAAAGACCCACAATATTTAGCATGTTTTATGAAATCTAGAGCTTGCTAAATTGCTAAATTAACACATACACCAGTCAAAGCTTTTGTTCCTACTATCAAGTTCCTGATGTTTTGTTTGTCTTAGGTCTTGCTGACCTTGGCAGAGAATAGGAATTAGATTTGTAGCTGGATGACTAGTTCTCAAACAATTTCTCCTGTATTACTAACACTCACCAATAAGTCCTTTATAAGTATCAATCTTTTTTTGTTCACCATAACACTTCACTGCTATCGGAAGTACAGACTTCAACCCTTCTTGAGGCTCAAGAAAGATGCCGATACCCTCTGGAAGAATGCAATGAGCACTCTGTTTTCACAACACAAACTTAAAACCTAAACACCCTTTTCAAAAGCTTTTGGGAAGCTTCGTAACAATGTTTAATTCCTCACCCCACCCATCTTGCTTTAATTACCAAGAAAAACTGCAATAGAAAAATAACCAACAGAACGTTCACCCTTTGCTTTTCAACCCTGTCCACTGCTTCCTCACTTAACTGTGGTCATTAATCATTCCTAATTAGTGCTCTTGTTTTCTAGTCGGTAAAGGTGCTTTGGATCCTGTCTATTGTCAGCAGTCCTCGATCCTCAAAGAGGATCCCTGGGTCATACAAGCCAAATCCCTTGTCAGAGGTGATTCTTTACAGATCTAGTTAGAGCCTTTCTGAGAGAAATCCCACACTGTAGCACTGTATCAACCTTCCATAGCCACAAACACACAGAAAATGGCATTTTTAGGCTTTTTTCCAAACACCTTCATAAGATGGGACTGCTTTGTTCATAAGCTACAAAAGTATCACCATTTTGGATTACTCCAAGATGACTGATTTTACACACAGCTGGTGATGACTTCCTGCTACGAACAGACTTCGAGAACCAGGGACACTTAACAGAAAGAAGTTTCACTTTCATGCAAATATCCTCAGGAAGTAAAGGCAAGAAGTGGCACATCATGTTTTGTTGTGTATCTCTTACAAAAAAAGGTCTCTACAGGGAATGCTTGCGACCTGGGAGAAGATTGGAGACTTCCTCTGTTGCTCCCAGGAGTCTAGATGATAAACTGTCCACGCTGCTTAAAAAAACAATTTAAAAAAAAAGGTCTTATTTCATCAAGGAGAGAAGTTCCCTGATAGTGTTTCTAATAGGTTTTTTACATTCAAGAAAAAAAAAAATTGCAAAAACCCCAAATAGATAGCAGTTTCTGCACTTCACTCCCAGGTGGAGCCCCTAAGAGTAGTTTTTCTCTCCTCTCAGCTGAACATGCAGTCTCTTCATGACCATGTGCTTCCCCAGTCTACCAGTTGAACTATTAGGCTTCTTCTGAGACTTAAAAGCAAAATAAAACCCCTTGGTTTTGCTTAGCCAAGGAGAAACTGAGAAGAAGCTCACAAGGGCTATGAGTTCACATCTTCAGCTCTTCAAGCTGTGATGTGAACTCCAAGCTCATGCAAGTTTTTAGGATTAACTCCCAAAAGATCTCTAATATCCTTCTTCACCCATTCCAGGAACATGAGCTTGCATGTGAAGAATACAGGGAAGGGACCAGTCCAAACCAGAACAGCTTCTCAAGCTGGCCTGTGGTAGATCTGGTGTCTCTCAAGACTCAACTTACTCAACAGAGCACCCTGCTTTCTGTAGCAAGCACAAGTACCACAGTCCTGTTGTTCAAGTAATAACAAGTAGTTGAGGATGAAAAAAGCTGTTCACAAAAGTAAACTTGATGACGCCTGCAATACTCCCGAGCAGTCACCAGATGTCACCGCACCTCAAGAGATTCGGTGGGAAACTCTTGGCAGGCCAAGTGACAGAAATGGAAAAGGTTTCTATTGTACCTAGACAGCTTCAGGGTCGAAGTAAGACCAGCAAAAGCAGCTCAGTGACCGAGACGACTTCCCATCAAACAACTTCATGCATGCATGTTTAGGAGTTAAAGGACCTGGACGGGCCACCTAAGGCAGTGCCTTCCAACCTTTCTATCTCAGCCACGTGGCTGCTGCTCTCTCTCTTCTTTCTCACTTCGTACCTCAAGCTTTGCATCCTTGCTCCTCAACCACCCGTACAGCAGCACCACCACCTCTGGAAGCCATCACCAGTCCCATTTCCCAGGACTTCCACAGCTCTTACGCAACCCAGGTTTGCTCACCACAGTTGGAGGCTGGGTGGAACTGAAACTCTTCATCATCACGCTCTTACGCATACACGACAACCTCGGTGCCAGCTGTTAATGCATCTTCTAAATTTGGTCTCTCAAATTAAAACTTCCTTATTTCTTTTGCGGATTTGGGTTCCAGCATTCATACTGCAAACTGCCACTGGCAAGATTCTGGTTCTGCCTTTTGTTTGAGGCAGGACTCAGGCAAGGCATGTTCTGCCAACAGGTCAACATCAGCAATCTTACAGTCCATTCTAAAATGGCAGTGAAAGCATCAGGAATAAATCAGACAGATTTCTACATCAGCCTCTGTAAAGCTCAAGAAAGAAAAAAAAAAAAAAAAAAGGAT